TCAAAAAGGAATACTTTTACGAAACTGCATGAAAAACGGCTCCTTTCAGCCAATTTGATTTCAGAGGCGCTTCTATAAAAAAAAATATCGTTATTGTAAATAGACACAGTTCCGTTACTTCCTTTACTTACTCGATGATAATTCGATGTTTTAATGCGTTTCAGTAAAGAAGGAACATAAAGTTGGCTGAAAGAATTTTCATTTTCATCGAGTTTCATAAAAGCATTCCTTTTTGACGGAACGATCAAGCGGACTTGGTTTAACGACTATGTGTTGTATAACACCTTCGCATAGGTCTTAAATTAGATTTCTTGCTAAACCTAGTGTCGGTCATAGTTTTATTATTTAGCTAATAGCTTGTTTGATTTAAGAGGTTTCTAAATGTTGTAATATTAATTTTAAGAAAAACGAGTTATAACGAGTTTATAAATTTATGGTCTAACACTTGTTTCGATATTAATTTAAATCTATTAATTTTTTCCTCATTTCATTACATGCTAGTAGTTTAACTTTCGAATACGATTAATTAAAAAATAATTGACTACTGATTGTCTATAATATATATCGGAAATTAGTTAAAACATTATATTTGACAAATCGGTGATATTGAAATTGAAACGAATGCAGGTGGTTACAACTTTTTAAAATTAAACTTTATAAAAATTTTTATAAACTTAAAAATTTAATCTTTAAGGAGAATCAGAAGCACCAACAATCTCATTTTAGTCTAAAAATTGTTAGTTATAACGATGTCAAGGTGCCTCAAATTCGGAGAAGGTCAACTATATCAACTGATCCTTGAAGATCTCGGTAGCAACATTAACGAACCAGCAATATTCGCTAAAGAGAGAGGAATAGTTATACCCAACTATATAGGTTTGCTGAATACATGTTAATCAAACCATACCCAACTATTAACTCTTGGAGAATACCATATTTTTATTTTCCTGTGATCATTCATTATTTTATAACTAAATATAATAAGACTTAAAAAAACAAAAAACTAATCAAGTATTAAAATGAGAAGTACGCACACATAACTATCTATCTAGATAAAAAAAAAAATATAAGGATCAATAAAGATCAGGGTAAATATAAATTTAAATAATAAATTAAGCTTGACTTTCTGGAAATCATTCACTACCTCAAGAGTGGTAACTGAATTAAGAAAAAACATGATATAAATTTAAATTTAAAACAGGTTCTATGCATATTTGAGTATTCATGTGCGAATTGGTCAATATAGTAAATTTTTATTTTTTGTAATTATTAGACTTTTATACGTTAGCTTGAATATTAAATATTTTAATCATTAGATTAGTTTTAGTTTATATTTATTTATGAAATATGTCTAAATTGTATTAAGTTGTTTTGTAGGAGTTAATTGAGAGTATGTAGTGTAAACAAAATAATTTAAATAAGGAAAAAATGCATAGCTTCCTAGTGTTAAAAATTTAATTATATATTTATTAAATGAACAATAAATTATTTGAATGTTTTTTTTTTTAGAACTATAACAATCTGTCACGTAGAAAATAGATTATAGTGATATAAGAACACATTCACACCATATATACAGAAAATATAAAATTAACAAACGTAAAATAGTTTGAAAAATTAATAAAAATTTATAGTATGCTGTTCCTGTGACAATTGGAAAAATGTTATTATAGATATGCTCAATCGCGTTTATCAGTAGTAGATCCAGGATTTAATCTTTGAGGGAGGGTTTTTTCAGCCCGAAAGGTTTTTTTTTTTTTTTTTTTTGTTGTATCTATAACAATAATTCCTTTGGAAGAAAAAGAGAGGAAGGAAGAAAAACTACCTAAATGAAATGATGTTTAACCACTTCTTGAAGCCCAATTTGAAAAATAAAAAATGTAATTACACGAACGATAATACAGATAATTTTTAAATGTTTTTTTCATAAAACATGGATATGTTCATTAGCTGTATACGCAATATTATTAACAAAATAGAACTTTCTTTAAGTATTTAGCTTAGTTGACTAACACTAAAAAATATGTACAATTAAAAACCCATTTTTATGGAGGGGGGGGGGGCTTCAGTCCGAAAGCCCTCTCCCCCCGTAGATCTGCCAGTGGTGTTTATCATACGGTGATAAACATAACACTACATATTAGATACTCAGGCAAATCCAAATATTTTACAAAAATTATATTTTCAAGCAGTAGCCGATTCAGTGTTTAATTTTATTTTTTATTTTTCTTGGGGGGGGGATTGATTCTAAAAACTGTTTTAGCTGGTTTCTAAATCATTTTTTAGTTTATGTAAATCAACCAAAATTTTACAGGTTGATGTTGTTAGAAGGCAGTTGGAAGAATCTAAACAAATTACTTGAAGAAGAACGAAGCTCTAGTGATCCTCCTTCTAACACTGCTGAACGACATGCTCAGTTATTGTCTAAGGTAAATAAATAAGTAGTTTTCAAGAATTATAATGTTGTTATTATCATTGATTAAATTTGTAATCAATCCTTAAAATTTAAATATTAAAAAGAAAATATCATGAAAAAAACGCATCTAATCTGAGCAGCTTTTGATCAAAAGTGGACATTTCCACTTTGACTGAAACTAAGATTTTGACATGATCTGGTAGTTTTTTGTGATAATTTTTTTGATATTTTTCTTGGCACTGTTCTTACACTGTTTACACCAGTAGCTGAAGGAAGTGCCTTATAATTTAAAAATTTAACATACTATGATTGTAAAACTATTTGCTTCAGATAACACATGGAAATTAATTAAAAAAGAAATTTCATTTTTTTTTTATTATTTTAGGAGGCTGGAGCCCGAAAGCTTCCCCCTGCTACTGTCTCCTTGATTTGCAATTATACTTCATGTTATTAATTATAATTCATATTATATTGTTATCAAAACTAGGTGTTGATGTCGGGGAGCTTGCAGTGTTGGCCGAGGGTTTATTCTGGACTCCCTTGGGATCATTCATCATCACATATATGGTAATTAGGTGTTGATTATCTTTATTTATTAAGTTTTAAATGATTTAAGTGATCATATCTTTTTGTCTATGTTCATAGGACTATGTTACTTGCTGTGTGTGCCTTCTAATTTTCTGGTTTTAAAACTTTGGCATTCGAATACCATATTTTTTTTTTTTAGCTCTATAAATTTCAGAAATAGTCTTGTATTGGTTTCACCGAAATATGCATATATCATATATTGTATAATTGTAATTGTGTGTATTAGTATATTATAGTATTGATATTTTTTATGCTGTGTAATATGAAAAATAATTTGTGTATATATATATATATATATATATATATATATATGTATATAAACATATGATTAGGTATAATTAAGTGCTATGTCAAAAAAAAAAAAAAAAAGGATTGATGAGTATGCTGTGTATCGAGCAACCCTATATAGTAGAGTAGCACTGCTTTATATAAAGTATTTCTCTCTCTACTTATAGACGATCCCTATAAAGAAAGAATTACTTTCTATCCTTTGACAGTGTTGAGAAGTGACCCTCTTCTTCTATCCTAGATTACAGTTTTCCATATTTATCACCTCCCTTAAACTTGTTCTAAATAACTTATTTCAAATTTATGATTCCTTACAATGCTCGGTGCCCATGTATCATTTTTTTATGACACCATATATCCCTTTCATCGTAATCCTCCCATTCCTAACAGACATTCTGAGAAATCTGGTCACCGAGAATTGCATTTTAGTACCGCTTTGTGTTCGTAAACTAAGATCTTTCAGGCCTATAATTCCATGCACGGGAGTATATGTTACTTACCAATAAATCATTTTCTCCAGTCATCTTTTGACTTTAACCACGTTTAATAATGGGAAATAAATATCTGTAGTCTCTCTTTCTTAGCCTCTAATTTATTTTAGCTATTCAACTACTGGTAGCCGGTCGTAAACAAAAGAGCAAGCCTATCTGTCTTTTTGCGTTCCCAACATTGCCGTAAAAAGATGTTAATAATAACGATAAAAGGCTTAACCCAAAGGTTCGATGCCAACATCACCAATCGCTTTTTACACTCCTCCCTCCACCGATCGTTGTACAAAACCATCCCTGCCAGATCAGCTTTAACGCAATTTCCCATGTTCGCTTCGGCCTATCCCTCGGATTTACCAGTCGGCACAGCAAATATTAAATTTTGAGGGATTCTGTCGTCACTAAATCTCTCTAAAAACAATTGTACATGCCCATTTTACTCGCGCCAGTTTAATCACCTCAATTATATTAACCGAATACAGTTCACGCAATTCGGCGTTGTATAACTGCCAAAATTCTCCAGTTGACTCATCCTTTTTCGGTCCGAATATTCAACGCAATACATTATTTTTTAAAACCTTAAGGCGTTGCTCACTCCTCAATGTTAGTAGCCAAGTTTTGCATCCATAGAGAACCATTGGTCGGACAATTATTTTGTAAATTCTAATTTTTAAGTTTCGGAACAGGAGGCGCAAACTAAGTAGTCATAGAAAAATAACAAGTATTTCCCGCTTTCAGTTTAACTTTAATTTCCTCAGCAATTTTGTTTTTTTCTAGTTATCTATCTTTAACTCTAGATACCTAAACTCCTCCAAGCGTTGAAACACATTTCCTTCTATATCGATGTCAGCGAAATTACGGCCGTTTTTGCAATTAACCATATATTTTGACTTACCCGTATTTATTTCGAACACCTGTTCTTTCATTAGCGTTGTCCTATTATGATTTATGGTTTCCATGTCTTCTCTAAGTAGTGCCAAATAATCATAACCAAGTAAAAAAACATTATCAGCATAACTAAGTAAAAAATACATAAAACGAATAAAATTTAAATCAAAAGATATAGTTAAAAAATGTATTTTTTATAACTTCTGGAATGGCGATATTGCCAGTATAATTCACAACACATTACTAATCTATGTAAGGCAAAGCTGTGATTGGGGCAGCACAATAAAAAAGTTTATTCTATATAACTTCTGGAATAAATTATTAAGACATACCTCTCAGAGCAGGTTGTTCTGTAGATAACTCCTGTTCAGTATGATTCCTAAAACAGATTTTTTTTTTGTTAATTCTAAATACTTTTAATTTTGATTTATTTATTTTACTTTTTTTTATTGAGTGATATAATATTATGTCAATGATTATAGTGAGGTAAGATTACATTCACACAGTACAAATAATATAAAATAAACAAAAATAACAATTAATTAATAATGAGATAGGACATACAGTAAATAAAAGTAAATTTTTGAACGATGAGTAAATTTTAAAAAAAAACGTAGACATGCCTATATACACTATTTATAATCAGACGAGGGAACTCCGAAGGAGGCTTGCCACTCTAATTATGAAGGAAAAAGCAGGACTCCAGGAGATCTCTGCGCCACTCTCTCAACCGCATCAGTGGTACTAAAAGCCACTGGAGAACAAGCGAGAGCTGGTTGAGAGCTTTCATGCAGCTACATACACTCATGGCTTGAGTGGAGAATTTGGCTATTGTCAGAACTCTGGTATATTCAAACTACAAACTACTGTCGCGGGGCCACTGCCGTTTTAACCTTCTTGGAGGATTATAGGGATGGGTGGTGCTAGATATGAATTGTGAAAAGGATTTGGATTATAAGTAAGGTTCTGACGAAATTAGGAGAATTTACTGGGATAAGGTCTAGGACAAAAGCGATGTTAAGTTCATGGTGTAGGATTTTATTGGTTACGTAGAAAGGCGCTTTGGGCAGATACAGAGAAGTTTGACATGACCCTGCGCAGGCGTAAGCTTAAAATTTAAAAAATAAGTTTCCTAATCGTGACCAACTGAACATTTGTTTAAATTTTAGAGGGTAAATCTCAATCAAAAGTTAAACTGCAGAAAGCTCACCGATTATAGAATTGCTAAGTGTTGTTGCTCAAACGTAGAAGTGAATAGAATTTCCAGATCTCAGGATGTAAGAACTTAACAAAACTTGGATTAATTATCTCTAATTTATAATAGCTGATATATCAGCAATATAGTTGTAACTATTAATGAAGAATCGGCAAACTTTAAAAGAAACAAAATATATATGTATAAATTAAAATAAAGTAAACTGGCCAATTTCGAAATTATGTGTTATTGAAAGAAATAAGGCCGAGCCGGGGAAGAAGAGGAAATGACGGGCGAGTGCCTACAGGCACTTCGTGAGCAAACTGCACTGCGCTCGGACATTTTTCAAATTTGAAAAATTACTTTTCCTCCAAACGGTAAACGGGTGGACAGACCATATGGTTCCAAGAAGAAACCTATACAAGATTATTTTACAAATAATCAAACAATATTTGTTTCTAGAACAATTTATATTAAATGTTTAATTTAATAAAATAAAAAAAAAACATAAGTTAGATTAGCTTGGTGACGTAAAAAATATGTTTGATTACAAAATAACATACTAAGTTTACTATAAAAAACAATCAGAAAAATGATGAATATAAAAATCAAAAATATTAAAAGGATCAAATCAATCTCTCATCGTAATCAGACTCGTCTTTCCGAAGACAAGAAATGCGCACAGGCATATCCCGACTTCCATAATCAAAATGGCTCCAAAATAAACAGCTAGCAGAACAAAAACTTTAATTTAAAAACACCAGAAAGATCCAAGAAAAACATATAACCCGAGCGTTCCAAAATAATTTACCAAGCAATTTTAATAAAATACCGCAGGTTCTTAAGGTCAGGGGCCGATAGGAAAGTAGCCTAGAAGGAGTAATAAGAAGATAATAAGGGTTAGATAAACAAATAGCTGCCTTGACCACGACATCCGGACACTTAAAGAGGTTTGACTGTCTGAAAACCGAAGTTGGCACATTTCGTGCTTCAGCGTGCCCACTGGAAGGTTAATAAATTAATATAAATGTTTATATTCCTGATAAATTTTTATATCCGAAGGCTAACCTTTCAAACAGTTTATCTAATGGATGGTCTAAACCTTACCTATTGATTTGCAGGAAATTATTTGGTGCATGCGCGAAGAGGGAGGAGTTATTCAGAATATTTAAACTCGATAAATATAGATATTTAATTATGTTTAATATACTTTACTTTTATAATGTTTTAATTTTCAATCCCTACCTTATAATGACGACGTTTCGGCTCATCGCGCTATTTTCAAGTCTCTCATGTCCTCGTTTATTACATTACTAATGTAAAAAAACATGTGTCTTCTCATAACAACTAATTGTCATAATCGTCTTATCCTTTTATTTGTCAGCTCCCAATTTATCAGTTTCATTATCACCAAGCTGAATGAAACTGATAACTTGGGAGTTGACCAGGGGTACCCATCCCCCCCCCAAAGCCGATGGCGCATAAACCTTTCCCCACTCCTCCAAAGATATTTTATTCCTGTCTTCTTCTTAAACACAGAGCAAAATAAAGTAGAATTTAAATATTCATAGATTACAATTACAATTACATATCCTTCGATCTGTTCCATGAACGTGTCTTTTAATTTGAAATTTTCCATTTTGAAAATTCATAATCCCGTCGAAATGTGCCCCTCTTCAAAAATTGAAAAAACCCGTCAAAAAGTCGCCCATCCATAAATTTTGATGGCGCAACTTGCGCCATGAAACCCCCTGATAAGAGTATAAAAAGCCATAAAACATAAAAAAAATAAAGAATTATTTTAAAATTAATTATATTACAAGTTAAAAGAGTTACTCGATAAGGAAAATAATATGTCATTGTATCCAATATTTAAATGTTTTTTTAAATATGGTTATTTTTTAAACCGATATGATGGAAATTGTCTAAAGCAGAGAAAAAACATGTACAGAGAATAGATCTTTTAGTATAATGTTGTGTCATTGACCCAGGACTATTTGTTGGCAGTGCCTCTGGTAATTGTTTATCCAGTAAGGCCATAATTGTTGATGATATGAATATTTGTTTGCCATACTTTTAAGTAGCTCTTTAGAAAAACGTTTTTGTTCCGCGATCAGCCGGTTCCGCTGCAGATGTGAGTGTTGTGACCGGCGTTTAATTCCCTCCTGTAGAGATCTGTATATTTTTCTTTCACCTGCTCCTACACTCATTATGAATTATGAATCTGATGACGTAGATCCTCTTTGTTATTTTCCTCTTTTTTTCAACATGTGTCTACTGTTTCAAATAGTTCTCTATTGTCTTCTTTTTCATTTGTAAACAAGAAACTAGCAATACTCTTTGAATACAGATTATAGGGCATTTTCTTAAGAAGCCATCCTACCGTTAGAGACTGTTAAAGTATTCTTCGTGAGTGGCCAACATCGAAGTGTTTTCAACTTGTAAATGTAGAAGAAAGGAGCTTGTAGAAGAAATGAACTTGTTTCGTTCTCATTGCTTATTTGCAATTACCATATGTTTTTCACAATAGCGTTTTCCTCATATGTTTAAATTGTTTTATCCAAATAGTTTCCACAGGCTAATGAAGCATTAATGTTTATATTTATATATTCTTATATGGCATATAAAAAAAACTGAATAAAATTGCAGAAGAATGAAATTGATATTTTGAAATTAGTATTAATTCTCATTTTTTACCGGGTTCCTATGGAGACCACGTTTTGTTTTTGATAAGTTTCTTGTATCTTCTGTGAAAGCATTGTACTTAAATTATTGAAACATCATGCAAGGTTTGTAACATTTTTCTTATAAGTCTTGGGAGTTTTCTCAATTCACAGATCGTAGTAGATCAGCATTGAATCTTACAAATGATTAAATTTATTGACATTTCCGAAAATTTTGATTTAATATTTTCTATTTTAAATAGCGTGGACCGGAGTTATACGATAATAAATTATAATGAGCATAGATAGCAAATATTAATTGATAATTGATAAGTTGATAACAATTGCATAAAATTACGATGCCTCAGAAAATCGTTCCTTAAAAATAGTACGATAATTCTACTTTTATTGCTTATTAAATATATTTTTTTATACACAGGTAATGTGAATTAATTGATTACTATTTACCCTTTTGTTGATCATTTAACCCAATTAAAAAAATAATTTTACAAACTTATCTTTCTACTTCATAGAGCCATATTTAATACCACGGGTTGTATTATTATTATTCTAATAAAATTCTAGTGTTCATATATCACTATAATTATTGTCCACGTGACAGATTATTATATTTCTAAATTAAAAAAAATAAATAAATAAAATTCTTAAATCTTCCTACTTAGTTATTTTATGAACAGCGAACCACAAATTGATTAATGAACAGCCAATGATGGAAAGGCAATTATTTGTATAGTATCGAAAAAAATATCGTATGATATCACCTCATCTTAAGAAAAACATATCACGACTTGTTCAAAGTGTTATCATGTTTAAAACCCAAACTTGGAACTTGAACAGAATGCAGAAAAAATGTGATACTATCATTGAATGTTGATTTCAAGAGAAAACCTAACCAGAAGCAGTGAAATAAGGGAATGAAAAAAATAAAATAAAGGCAGTTAAAGAAAGAAGACCAATATGATACAATTCGGAATAGGAGACTGAAGGTAACAAAAAGAAGGGAAGAGCTGGCACGCAATGATGGATTAAGTTGCTGAACGCATAGCAAATCATGGATTGACGGAAGAGCAGCCGTTAGATAGGAATGAATAGAGAGATTTAATGACGAGGTCACTGCAGCAAATATAGATAGATAGAAAACCTTGTTGTTTTGTTTTTTTCATATTGCATAGTTTTCCAATATGGATTATTTGTCTATTGATAAATATTACAATCTGTCTCAATAAAGGACATTTATAATAAAGTTCAGAGAGCACATTCACACCATATTTACAAATTAAAAAAAATAAATAAATAAGGTAATTTCAAATAATATAAAGCTAAATAAGAACAAAATAAAATATCATAGTGAAGGAAGAAAATATAAAATATAGTAATTATAGAATAAAAATAAATGAATAAAATAGAATTAAAATTATCTTAAAAAAAAAGTAATGAAAATAAACATCTTAGATGCTAGTATACCTATTTACATTATTTACAGTCGGCCATGGAAACTCC